TTAAATAGTTTTGTAATATCGTTTAAATTTATTTTCATTTATTACCATTGTTAATAACATGAATGCTGGATATGCATCATGCAAAATGACATTGAGATATTCGAGAAATTAAAGAAACCTGAAATGAATTGCATGTCATATTTGTATATTGAATTCAGGTTGTAGAGGAAACCTAAAATGACTACAACTTGTCCTATTGATATATTAAATTCAGGATTGATGACCTAAAATAATGCTCCTAAAAAGCCAATTAGTTTATTTTTTATGTTAGCTTTTGATAAAGTTTGAAATAATTTAGTATTTTGTAATATATTAGTAATATGACAGTTATTTCCAGTACATATTTTATATGAATAAATGATTTGAATATCAAATTTTAGTTATATATATAAAAATATTGTTTTCCTTTTTTTTTTTTTTCTATTTAGAATTAAAATGAATACAATGAAATGTGAGAAAGGAATTTGCAAATACATTCATATTATTTCACTTAAAATTAAAATAATCATTTCACTGTACAACACTGATCGTTTTGCAAATGTTTACTCATCGTAATGTTATTTCACTTTTTGTAATTGTTTACTTTTCGGAAGCAAACAAATGGAAGTAAAATTGCTATGAAAGGAAGCATAAATAAATGTATGTTGTTTATAGCATTTTAATATTTCTTTCATTTCATAGAAAAAGATAGTGTTTTTTTTTTTTTTTTTTGAAATTTTATATTTTTTGTAAATTTTCACAAAAAAAAAAAAACTTTTTTTTTAAATTTTTAATTGAAAAAAAATTTTTTTTAGAAATAAAATGCTATGAATTAATATGCATTTATATAAGCATAAATTTTTTTTATTAAAATTTTTACTTATATTATTTGTAATTTGTATGACTTCCTAAAATGATTAAATAACAAATAAGCATTTGATTGAATTATTGTTTGTGATAAAAATGATAAAATTTTGAACATTATCATTGATAATATTTAATAACACTAATCAGCACTCAGTAGTAATAATAATAATAGTAGATGATGTAAAATGTTGAAAAAATTTTTACAATAATTTCTAAATAAATCTAACAGATTTGTAACATCAATCAAAATATAATATTAGTAAATAAAATAAATTTGAAAAATAAACAAATTTATTTTTTTTTTTTTTTTTTGTTGAAAACATTTTTACGATAATTAAATCTAACAGATTTGTAACATATAATTATAATATAATATTAGTAAAGTGAAAACAGAATGAAAAAAAAAAAAATCAATAATTTAATAAATAAAATAAATTTGAAAAATAAAGAATTTTTTTTAAAAGAAAAAAAACAAATTATAAAATTACATATGTTTTGATCAAGTATAAATAAAATTTAAGTGCTTCATTGCTTCTTCATTTCATTAGTAATTCTCGTAAACAACCTCTAAAATTTCTCAATTCTTCAAATTTATCCATTATGCTTCGTTAATATTGATTCATTGTAGAAACAAACAGATAATACTTCAATTTATAAATGCAACTAACATTTTCAATTTATCACTTTCATATTAAAATCTTAATCTATAATAATCATAATAATAATAATAATAATAATAATAATAATAATAATTTTGCATTTTGAAAAATTTTGTTCATCGAAATTTTATTTCTAATTTTATTAATTAAAATTATATTTTTTTCAGGAAATTTTCTCTTTTTTTTTTTCTCTAAAAGTTTTAATATTTGTTTAAATTTACATTACATTACATTAAATATATGTAAATTAACAGTTTCACATTTTTAACTTTTATTTTTCATAACAGATAAAATTTTCCGGAAAGCTAATCCATGATTATATATAATTATTAATAAAAGCAATAATTAAATAGTACTAAATGTCGTAAAAATATCTTAAAAGTATCATTAATTACTTATTATTTAAATACTATTTTAAATTTGTTAATTTTTAGGTTTTATTTTTTATTTTTTGAAATTTTTAAAAATTTGAAAACTACCATTTCTTATTAATAAGCGTTATCAGTTATTTACCTTCTTTCTTTCTATTTTCTTTTTTTTTTTTACATTTCAATTATTTAATTAATTAATTAATCAATTAATCAACTAAATATTTATTAATTAAGCAATCAATGAAATATGTTATAATTTTTTGACAATCTTTTTCCAACTAATTAATGTAAATCAAATAATGATAAAAATGAATGAAATCAATTAATAACAAATCATTTCACATTTCTTTCTATTTTCTTTTCAAAACAAAAAAACAAAGAAAAAACATTAAATTCAAGTTTTAATAAACATTTTCTTCTTTTTTTTTTTTTTTTTAAATCTCAATTAATTAATTAATCTTTAAATTGAAAAAATTTTCTGTTTTTTTTTCTTTCTTTTTTAATTTCAATAAATTAATCAATTCAATGGATTAAAATTGCCATTTCAATCAAATGTATATTATCACTTAGAGTATCAAATTCACATAAAATTTTAAAAGTAAAATTTTTTAAAATAAGTTAAAATAGGCCCTATTAGGCCCTTTTTTTTTCTCTCTCTCTCTCTTTTATACATTTCCTTTTATGCATTTTTCTTCTTTTCTCTCATCTTATCCATTTCAAAAATTTATTCTCATCGTATCTTCCATCCAATCCAATCTAATCCATTTATTTCATCGATTTCCAGTTTGGCACATTTAAAAAAGACTGCTGGCCTTCCGGATTTCTTTCACTTTCTCTCTCTTTCCCTCTCTCCCTCCCTCTCTCTCTCTCTTTCCCTTTCTTTTGTCATATTTCTTTCTTCAATATATAGTCGTCATGTTTATGACAAAGATCTCACAATTTCCGATTGCTAACTTTTCTAATCTAAGGGCCTACTAGGCTCTTATTCCTCTCATCCTCAATTTCCTTTCCTTTCCTTTCCTTTCCTTTTTTTTTTTTGAAAGCCATTACATTTATATTATTTATGGATTAATTTTTTATGTTTTTCATTCTTTTTTTTTTGCTTTTTTAATTTTTGTAATAAAAATATAAAATCAAAAGTTACGACCAAAAATTAAGAGAATAAATAAAGTTAAAGTCAAGAATTTGTTGTCGAGAATTGAAGTATAATAAAATGCTTTCAAGCATGGATAGTTTTTTTTTATGGTTTTAAAAGAAAGACTAAAAGATAGAAAATAATTTATCCATTGTTTTCGAATTTTTCATCCTTCTTTTTTTAATCCTTTCAAAAATGAACTAATTCATCTTTTCCTGATTAAGAATTAAGGTGTAAAATTTGAAACTAATTAAAATTTACTTTAAGTTTACTATATTTATTTTTTATTAAATTACAAAATGTTTGATTAGCAAACATTTTATTATATTCCTGAATGATAATCAGAAATGGTCATTACAACCAGCTGACATATAATTTTAGCTGTACACTCTTCTGATTTATATCCAAAATTTCCGGATCCGGATGATTAATCACATACACTAATTCATACTATTACCTGTCATATCGCCGTAAAGTTCCATTCGGCCTAAGCTTCATTTTATCCAAGTGTTTAACTATCCGGTAATTTAATAAAAAACTTACACTAACCGGTTTGTTATTCCTGAAACATACCGGAATATTAGGATGATGCATAGAATATTATTGCACGAAAAAACTGCAAAAAATTGATGTGTTTTATTAGTAGTTGTGAGTGAGGGAATGATAGAATGAGTTATTGAAGGAGGTGGTAGAATGTGAAACAATTGCTGCAGTGATATGCTTATAAGGATGCGAAAAGATGTTGACGAGATTGTCAGAAGTTATCGAGATAGTAGGGAATGTTGAAGAGAGAAAGAGATATACTAGAAACTGGAAGACAGTGTAGTGAAGAGTTGAAATTCACACTTTGACAACATAAAACAGAGTTACAAATTGTATTCTTCGATTCATTTTTTCATTTCCTATTTTCATTTCCAATTTTTTTTCTTCATGAATTCATTTCTGAATTAGTTCGGTAATTGTAAAAGTCCGAAGATATTTCGAAAACCTGACGATCCCAAGGAAATTTCCGACAAAAACCTAGACTTCAAACCCACTAATCAATTAAAATAAAAATGAAAGTTTGAACAACAAAAGGTTCTTGCCCGAGTTGCGGTGATTTGTGTATGCCGATGGGTATGACGACATGGGTACGGGTAGATATGGTATGGCTTACGGGCAGGTATGGTAGGGTTACGGATAGGTATGGTGTGGGTTACGGATAGTTATGGTATGGCTTACGGACAGGTATGGTGGGGTTACGGATAGATATGGTGTGGGTTGCGGATAGTTATGGTATGGCTTACGGGCAGGTATGGTGGGGTTACGGATAGGTATGGTATAGGTTTCTGTGCGAGTTACGAGTAGGTATAATGTGTGTGGGTGCGTTATGGGTAGGTATGGCATGGGTTACGGCTAAAGTATGATATGGATTACGGGTGGGTATGGTTATGGGTAAAGATTTGCATTTCTTTTTTCATTTGCTACCTTTTTTTTTTTTTTTCAGTTCAATAAATGAACAAATGAACGGATTTATGTGATAGGCTGTGATGAATGAGTATGGAAACTACATGATTATTTTGATTTTGCTTTAATTTATATAATTTTTAAGCTAACTTTACTGTTTCACATCAAGTATTAATTTATTTTATTTTTATTTACTGTAATGTTTTATCGATCTTAAATTTTCGGAACATTTGTTTCTCTTTTTTATTTTTTTTTTTTTTTGTTATCTTTCTTTTTTTTATTACTTTGTTGAAATTTTACTGCGTCATGCTTTCCGTATCTTTAATTGTTTATAATATTTTTACATACGAGGTAAAATATTCGATTTCGACGTTTTTTTTTTTTTTTTAAGTTGTTTCATATGTTACTTTTAATTTTATTAATAATTTCCTTGTATGCATATTTTCATGTTATTTATTTTCAGGTTATTGCAGATTTTGAAAAAATTTTCCATCATTATTATTTTTTACTTCATTATAATAACACTGAACTAAATAAACAAACATGCAAACCATCGAGAAAGCATTACATCAACCAATGCCATTCACAACAGGTGGACAAACAATTACCGATCGACTTACCGCTGCAAAACATTCCTTAGCCGGTAGTCAATTAGGTAAAACAATTTGTAAAGCTACAACCGAAGAATTAATGGCACCAAAAAGAAAACATTTGGACTGTAAGTTCTTTGCACTACATTACAATGTATCGGATTTAAACTAATTTAAAAGAGAAATTAGAACTTAACAGAAAATGAAATTAGAATTTTGATGCGAATTTTGATAGCTGTAATATGAGAGAATTAGTATTAATGTAAGCATAACTTGTTCAAATCATTTAAATCCATCACTTTTAACATCAAAATGATAACAAAGTAATTTCTGAAATGTATCAATATGAAGGCACAAATAACTTGACTTCAAAAGCATTTGTTATCCTATACTAGTTTAACGAATGGTTCCTAGCTTTTCGAAAGATGTAATTTTTTTGAAATAATGAAATTTGATCGCTTCATAGATGTATCGAGTAACTGCTGAAGAAATGATTGGATAATCCTTAATAATTTAATGAAAAAAAGAGTTAAAAGATTGTTCTAAAATTTTATTATATAAAAAAAAATGAGCTATTGATTGCTTATTGCAGATTTATTACATTGTACGCAGGAGCCAAATGTTTCCATCCCATCAATGGCAAATTTGTTGATTGAACGAACCCAAAATCCCAATTGGACAGTTGTTTATAAAGCTCTTATCACTATTCATAACATAATGTGTTATGGAAATGAAGTAATTCTTTTATGCTTCTAGCCGGTTTAACCAGTTTCATTTTTAAACAATAGGCAGGAATTTTTGAACACAGAATTATTATGATTTTTTCTTTTGACTAATTAAATTGCCAGTTTCAATTATAAAATGCATAAATTCCTACTCCATTTCCAAGATATATGTTAATGCTTTTAATTTTAAGACATACGCATACGTGAAATGTAGTATTATTGGTATTTTATTACTTACTTTTGAAGCATACTTAAAATCTAATGGTAGTCTCGATTATCTATTTTTGATTCATATCAATTACTTTTAGTGTACCAAATTCTTTTCAATCTTTTCCAGCGATTTTCGCAGTATCTTGCATCCTGTAATACGACATTCAATCTGGGCAGTTTTTTGGACAAAAATTCCGCTCAAGGTAGGTATTATTAGAGATGAGTATGTGCCGACGCTAATATTCCGATCAGCAGAAATGGATGAAATGAAACGGTATATGTTGATGAACAGTGTAAAAAAAAATCCCCTTATCATCATTTGAGAAGCTTGATTTCTTTTTGTTGTTGTGTTCAACAAAATTTTAGATTTTAATATCTCGATTAAAATTTTTTGGTTTTTCAATCCTAATTTTGCAAACATATGTGAATCTAGTTGAGTTGCATAACTTTCTACATGAAAATGTTCTGTTTTTAAGTGCTTTTTCTTTTCTTGTACAATACCTCTTTATCAGCAGATATTAATTCCAATTTCACAAACATATTTGAATTTAGTTGATTTTTGACTAATTTTTATTTTAATATTCCTTCTCTGTAGCTCTCTTATCTCTCTTTCCGATTAAACAAAAGATTTCATGTATTGAATTTAAAGTTAAAAAATACATCAGGTCATTCACCCATGGATTATACGCGTTCGTCAACGAAACATTGGGCATCCCTGGATTCGGTTCTTGTTGGTAAATGAATCATCCATAAATTTATCTTTTTTTTTTTTTTTTTTTTGTTTTGGACTGACACTACCTCTAATCTAATCATGCACGGGCAGATATATTTCGGGCATATTTTTTTTCACAATTTTTTTTAGCACAATGTTTTGATACAATTTTTTTTTGATAAAGCTTTCCAATATTTTTAACATATCAATACTTTTCCTTTTATCATCTTGCTCTTACACTGGGCCATCACTTTTTTATTTATCTGTAATTTTCCAACTAATTCTATGTTTATTAGAAATATGAGACATATCTAGATTAAATAGGATGATATGGAACGGCTGATATTATAAATTTATTATGGATGATTAGCTCAGACTTCTTTATTTGACAGACGCATTGCTATTAGTAATTGAGAAATTGTTGTAGTTTATTATGGGAAAAATCAATTTGTAAAGCTAAAGATAATATGAAAAATAATTTTGAATTAGGATGAAACTGAATTATCTTGTTCGGATTATTAAGGAGAGCAAATGTTTTAAGGATAATCTGCTGTTCTTAATATTCTGAGCAGTAATGCAAGTAAGCAATTCCTTTTTCCAATTACAATAAAAATTACTTAATTGTTGATAATTCTGAAAGATCTGATTATTACAGATAATAATGGTGACAATTAGAGTTAATCATTTTAAAGTAAATAAGTTTAAGAATATTTTTGACTTAAAAGCATATTTTGGAAACTTCATTCTTTATCGCTTGGAAATAATTTCATAAATCATACAAGTTCATTCCTTACAAGATTTCAACCTTACAAGGTTTCATTCTTTACAAGTAAAGAGGGACAACAAAATAATTTGAATTTCAAAATATTATTTCTTGGTTACAGATAATTTGATGTATGGTCTAACTGTTTTTAACCTTTGAACAGAAATTAACTTTCTGTATTGCTTCAGTTAAATCCTGCTTACGTTGTTTAAATAAGTAGTGAAATTCCATTGCAGGTTATGATATGTCGCAACACGTTCGACGTTATGGGAAATATATCAGTGAAAAGATCTACACATATCGCTTATGCGCTTTCGATTTTTGCAAAGTAAAACGTGGTCGTGAAGATGGTCTTCTACGAACGATGAATGCAGATAAGGTATATAATGTTTATTATTGAACTGAAGTGAGGAGAATTTAAGAGATGTCAATTGATTTGAATGAATTGAGCTGAGATCAAATAATTAACAGAAATGTAAATCAAGATTTAAAATTTTTTTTTTTAGATTCTAAAAAATTTTTATCTAATATTTGCATAATACTGCTGGTTTTATGAAATCACATCATTTCCATTATTTTAGTTGTTGAAAACATTACCAATTTTGCAAAATCAGATCGATGCTCTTCTCGAATTCCAAGTAAGTTTTATTTATTTATTTTTGATCTGTTTTTCGAGACAGAATTTATTCCACATTTCTCATTTTTTGCTGTACGAGTAATAATAGCTTTTTGTAAAATAGATATAAGATTGACAAATTATTTCCTGTGTTAATTGAAGATTCTTTTTTTTTTTTTAGCTAGCTTCTAAATGACACATTAAAATAACTTTTTAATTTTCCAACTGTTAATATCCGTTTATTATTACTGATATGTTATCATTTATAACAAAAAAGCTTATTTTTGATTGGTAATGCATGAATTATTAATTCAGCAAAATGGTGCAAATAATGAAATTATTTGAATAATTAATATTTGATTGAGTAAATTTAATACGTAACCGATTTATATAACTACTGCATTTCTGAGAAATTTTTTGTGCGTTTTTCATGTATTATACCTTTTACTTATTTGTCTATTCCGAGTTATTCATAATGGATTGAAAAAGAGTAGGTATGAGAATAGTATGTAATAAATATTTTACTTAAGAGGTTTTTCATTATGTTAATAGAAAAAAAAATTTATTTTTTTTCGAATGCGTTATTTGGAATTTATTGTTATCGTTAGAAATTTAAGTCACATGCTTAATTTAATAAGAAATTTAATTTCAGGTAACTTCAGCCGAATTAAATAATGGCGTCATCAATTGTTCTTTCATTCTTCTCTTTCGTGATCTCATTCGCTTATTTGCGTGTTATAATGATGGTGTCATTAATTTGCTTGAAAAATATTTCGATATGAATAAGAAGCAATGTCGTGATGCGCTGGATGCCTACAAATCATTTCTAGTAATATTAATTGATTTCTTTTTTTAAAGTGATTCTAAATTGTAGAAGCAGTGAGAATGTTTTGTTAATTTTATTTGAAGTATTAATTTATGTATCACTGCTTAGCTGTTAAGCTGTTTTTATAAGATTAATTGAAATATTATGACTGTTAGTATTCTAGTAAGCTATTGGATATTTTATGTACTTTCAGCAGAAAATAATATGTTATATTGAATGCTTCAATGAAAATGCTTTATTAATTTTTCACACATTTTTTTTTTTTTTCATTTGAAAGCATAGCACTTTTTTTCTTTAGTAAGAAACATTGACGTAGTCATAATTTAGAAGTTTTCTCGAAGAAAAAGCTATATAGTAATTACTTTTCAGCTAAGGTTGGACAAAGTGGCAAGCTTCTTAAAGGTAGCGGAATCTGTGGGTATTGATCGGGCTGAAATACCGGATTTGACACGAGCACCGGCTTCATTATTGGAAGCATTAGAAGCACATCTAGTTTATTTGGAAGGTGGTAGAGCACCTCCAACTGTTCATCATGTATATATTTTTCTTTTATTTATTTATTTATTTTTTATTATCTCATGGTTCTACTATATGTTTGTCTATTTATTATATATTTTGATTTTCTTAATGAGGAAAATAAGTTTATACGTTTATATACTCGAGTACTATGATCAAATTTTTCGACATCTTTGTTCCTATGTTGTTTTAGACATTATGAAAAAAGAAAAAAAAAAATTTTTGGGCACCCAAATCTAATGCACTAATAAATTGTAAAATTCATAAGTTTAGTGCATTCATAAGCTCACTCTTTTTTTTTCAGGAACAATTTAATGCAGCAATGGCACAATCTGCACCATTATTTTCTTCCGCACAAACGGGAATTATTGATGATTCAGCAAAGCAAAAATATTTAGAAGAGGAAAAGGAACGATTACGGTTATTTGAGGTTTCTTCATCGATTCTTTCAAAACTATCTTATTCTTTTCAATTTCTCTTTATCTTATAGAAGCCTTGCAAATCAGTAATAGTTTATCCAACTACAATTATATTTTTATACGTCTTTCCAGATGATTAGGTGAACGTATTTGTGTTTCTAGTTCTAACTAATAAATTGACATAGAAGTAGTCGAGATAGAATTCGTTTTTGAGAATTTTCGTAATTTGGATGTTGCCTTCTGAAATTTATTGATTTTATTCCTGTTGATCAGATATTACAAGACTTTATCATACTATTCGGGGTTTATTATCTTTGAAACAATTGTTCTTAATTCATAAGCAAGCTTATTACACAGAGTTAAGGCTGTCATATAATCGTAAAAAAAATAAAAAAATTCACTGGAATCAAATTTTTTTGCAACTAAATCGTTTTATTGAAATCAAATCTGTTTTTTTCTTTCTCTAGGAGCAGCGAAAAAGACAAGCAGTAGCGGCTGGTTCATCCGGAATTGATGTAGGAGGACATTCGTTCAATCCATTCGCCGCAGCTCAATCATCAGGAAGCAATGCAGGTCGATCTACGAAGCCAAGTGATGATCTTCTAACCCTTTTTGATCCTATGCCAGCAGGTGGTGGAATTACAGCTCCTTCAGGTTATGGAGCTGCTGCTCCAGTTAATGCTGCACCGCAGCCAATGGCATTGGATCCAACAAATCCGTTCGCTCAAAATGTTTTCCAACAGCAATCGGCTACAGTTATGTCGACTAATTCTGCTCCTGGTTTGTGTTTAAGAAGAATGCTTTTGAAATTTTCCTTTCAAAAACTTTCTTCTATGACAAGAACTATTGGGAGAAATTCAGAAACTTCTGAAATTGTATTAATATTAACATGCTTTTATTAATATTTTATTAAACATGGATATTATTGTCAACTTCAGGTTTTGCGGGATATCCGAATATAGGCAGAACAAATGCATTTGGAGCCGATTTTGCAACTGCTTTTAATATCGGTGCAGTTGCTCCTGCAACCACTGAAACTAATGGTTTGCTATCTTTTTGAAAATGAATTTTTATTATCTAAATGACAATAATTATATGAAAGCATTGACTTGTTTATATTTGTACATATGTAATATCAAATAGTGTGCACTTACTGCTCTTTATTCTTTGTTTCGTCTTGCATGCGCAGTGCAAAATATAATACGAGTTCTTGAGCATTCTAAATTCACTGATATTAATTTTTTTGTTTTAAATCATGCATTGTGCTTTGATAATTTGATATACACTATTGAAAGATTTGTTGGAAATTTAGCTGTATTTTGTTATGCACAGTTTTCTTTTTCTTTCTTTCTTTATTATTATTATTTTTTTTTTCATTAATGGTTGTTTATATTTAGTCGAGAAGCTTTTTTGATATTGTATGTAAATTTACAGGATTTTCTTTGTTTACATACATGGCAGTGGTAGTGGTAAATTGTTGTTGTCAATGCTATTTAGTTATAGTTATTACTATTTATTGTTTCCTTGTTGCTATTTGTAATGATGTTATTGTAGGGTTGTGATTATAGCTAGAAAGATTTTGATAGTAAGATTGCAATTTATTCTATTGTTGTTAGATGTGTAAGAGATTCTTGTGCTCAAAAAAATATAGTCTCTTGCATGTTCTATTGCTGTTACTATTTTTATTTTTGTTATTTAATTTTATTTGTTCTCTGCATGATTTCCATCCATTTCTTGTTTTTTTTTTTTTTTCCCCAAAATTTTCATTCCTTATTTCTTATTAATCACCATTTCTTACCTAAACGATCATCAACTACTGCAGTCGGATTCAATCCATTTCTGACTAATAATATTGTCGATTCATCTGCACCACCAGTATCTCGACAATGGCCTGTATCATGTGAAGAAACCGATAAACAGTGGTCCGGAAAAACTTCGCAAGATGCAATTCCGCCACAGCATTGGTCTTCCGCAGTTTCACGATCTGATCTAGAAGGTGGTTCAGCTACTGCTCCATCTTGGAGCAAAAATGGTGAAAGTAGTGAAAGTGATGAAGCAGTTGGTGCTACGGGTACTGATATTAGTAATGTACCGCAGCAACCAAGTGAAATGGTCAATTCAGCTCTTCGAAATCCATTTGGTGCCATGCAACAAAATGCTCAAGGTAGAAATTTGATATGATATATTTGAAATTCAATATTAATTTAAGGAAAATTTGAGGTCACAATTTCTATTTTTTCTTACTTTTTTTTTTTTGATTTCTAAATAATGAAGATAAATTTGGGTCCGTTCATGATATTTCTGTAATACAATTTTTTTTTGTTTATTTTAGCATTGCATACAGCTGGTGTTAGTGCTACTGTGATAACACCTCAGCAACCGGATATACCAGCATTTGGAGCACCACCATCTGGTGCATCATCCGGTTTGTTTATTTCTTCAAAATCTTCACTGATTTTTGCATCCTTTGCATAAAGAACCTACCTTTTAAATTTCCTATGAAAGTGATGAAGTTTGAGTTAATTTTAGATTTTTATTTGTATTTTTTAAGCAAATGTATCGCCGGTTCATTTTGGAATGACTACCCAAGCACCTCCACCACCACCACCACCACCACCACCACCACCGTCAGCAGTGATTCCGAATCAAAACCTTACAATTTACGAACAAACTCCATTTTGTTAGCTTTTTTTATTTTGTTCTAAATACCAAAGTTATTATCATTTATTTTTTTTTTTTTTTTTGCTTCATAAGTTTATTGGGAACAATTATTATATGTTCTAATTAGAAAAATTAACGATCCAATGAAATCGAGAAATGCTGATTTTTCGGCCATTTCTAAAGTATTTTATTACTGCTGTTCTATGGTTCTTTTTCAATCATATAGAAGGAAAAAGAAAAAATGTAATTAAAGTCTCAGTAAAAAGCTGAGTAGAATTTCGGTTGAATTTAGTGTCTGTCGAATTACTTAATGGTGGAATTTAATCAATTTCTGTATAATTTTGTATTGGCTCATATCTTAGCTATCACTGCAAGTTAAATAAAAATATTGAAAAACTATTAGCATAGTTGTATCTTGGATTTTTTTTTTTCGGACGTCTAAATTAATTATTATTATTTATTATTTTTGAATTATTTTTCTATATCTAGGCATTTATATACTGAAGGATTATAATGTTTAAATATCGGAACAGTTTTTTCATATTCTATGTCAATTTCTTTGCTACTGATATAATCAGTTATTTTTAGCTCGTATGGATGGTAGTTATAATTCATCGCCGGTTATTCCACGTCTTTTACATCAACAAGCAACAGCACCACATCCTGGTTTACCTTATACCTTTTAGTCATTGGTTTCATTTTATTTTGTCATCTTCTTATATTCATCTTTTATGCAAATATATTGAATATTAATTTGTTTTTTAGGGATGCAAAGCGTACCTGGAGGTAATCATGTTATATCTTCATTACAAATTGTGTACATCATCTGCATGATTATTTTTAGCTCAGAATCTCTCGTAAGCAGCGGGATTTTAACTGATTGTCTCCTGATTGTTTAAAGAATAAATGAGTTTTTTTTTTTTTCATAATACGAAATTGTTTGGAAGAATGCAGATGAGAAGAGAAGTAGTTGATGATTAGAAGTAATACTTTATAGATTCTGAGCTGAACTTTCAGTTTTACTGTTTTGATCATAGACCTAAAGTTAATGTTCAAAGTTAGTGAAGCAGTTAACTTATCAATGTTCTTTTTTTTTGCTGTTACTTTTGTTTCTGTGTTGAATCATAGTGATAAAGTTGTTGTTGTAGTTATTATTTCTATTGTTTACTATTGCTACTTTTGTTGTTGTGGTTGTTTTAGTTGTTTTTTTTTTTTTTTTTTTTTTTTTATGAATTTTGAATGCTTTTGCACCAAACACTTGGATTTTCACCTGATATATGATAAATAGAAATGTTATTAATCTGTAATTTAGCAGTGGTATGGGATTAAGTAGTCATAAGCTTTAAGCTTATAAAAATATTCTAAAACTTTATAAGGAAATAATAATTGAGCAATTATTCATTTGTGTTGGTCGTGTTACATTGAATTCTATTCTTTTTTTTTTTTTCCAAAATGAGTTTGAAGGGTTTTTATTTGGTGCAAATGCATCGTAATAGTTCATAACTTATCGTTTTCAAGTTGAATTCATTGATTTTTGCAAGTAATTATTTTTATTTTAGCATTTCCATATTGTCTTTTTTATGTGGTTTACTCTTTTTCCATAATCAAAAAAAAAAAAAAAAATTATAAATTTCCTAATCTTTCTACAATATTTTTGTTCTAGGTGCAGCTAATTTAAATGCATACGGAGCACAACAGTTGCCACCGATACCATGTGCTACCACTACACAAGCTGGTAAATTCAATAGTGGTGATTTAGATAGCGCACTATCATCACTAGCTGATAATCTCTCGGTGAGCGGTAAAGGAACAAGTAATCATGGGTAAGAATTTTCAAACTTCATATCTGTTACAACTTAGCTGATTCTATTTGAGTAATTTGTTTTGTGTATTTAATATATCATTAAGAAATTTGTGTTTGTTATTTGCAGTATTGAAGTATTGAGGGAAGATTATATCTAATTATTTTATAATCCATTTATTCAAAATGAAGGTTGCAACAAATCTAGTTTTCCAGGAAGCCGATTCAGTGGAATAATCAAGGTGGTGTAAGACCTGCAGGTGGAGCACATGCAATGACACAACCGCAGTATGCTGCAATTCCACCACAACAATGGCCACCAATGGGTGTTTATGCCCCACAACCAGGTATGCAAATAACAAAATTTCTTAACGATATAATATTTAATAGAAAACAAATTTTTCAGTTCATATTTTTTTATTTGGATGAAATAAATCTGTGATAAAAAAAGTCATAAAACACGGATTAACATAAAGATATGGTAGTATTCTGAAGATTTATTACAATTCTATAACTTAATAACTGCTAGTTTGAGTAAGTGAATAGAAGGTACATAAAGTAATATATGATATAATATAGTCCTTGCATTTGATTGCTTTATTATTTGCTTCATCTGAATTGTTTTCATTTTAATTATATTTCAATTTACATCTCAGTAAATGCACCTTTATCTTATGTTACAGGTATATACGCTCAACAACCAATGATCGGTATGTATGCACAACCAGGATATAATCCACAAATGCAACAACCGGCTGCACCACCGGTATATGGTATAGCACCAGGTCAAACACCGCCTCAAGCTGGACAAGCGCAACAAGCGGCACCACCGCCACCTCATCGTCCATTCATGTGAATTATGTAGTATTTTGCTAGGATAATTTCAACTTCCTTTTTTTTTTTTTGTTTTTGTTTTATTTAACATGAACAAGAACTTTGTGTTTTTTTTTTTTTTTTTTTTTTTTTTTTTTGGAGGGGGGGAAAGGGATTTTGAAGGAATTCCTTTCTCTTAATCAAATTGTTTCTAAACTGTATGTGAACATTTAATTCAGTATTGTTGGCTTACTAGTTTTCAGCCTTTTACTTTTCTTATTTGTCATTCTTCAACCTTTCATCTTTAATAACATTTCATGTTTGTTAACCCGGACAAATTAGCAAAAATAATTTACATTGTCACATTCTATCTCTTTTTCCTGTACTATATGTTTTATCATTTTATTTTATTACGATATTCGAAGAAAAAGATGATGATATTGCTGTTCGCCTATACACATTTGCTTAAGTATGTTTGAGAAAGTAACTTTTTCTCGTCGTATTTGGTTAGATTTTTTTTTTTCTTTTTGCAAGCTGCTGATCTCGAATTTCATGAAGTCTTCCAAATTGAATTCTTGAAAGAATAAAATGTTTACTAGCTAAACTAGTTCTTTCAATATATTTACTTATTGAAGTAAAAAAAAAAAAATTTAAATTTTTATAAAGCTTAAAGTTGACCATCGTTCTGAAATTTTCATTTCTATATACATATATGCATTCTTGTATCATTCCATTTTGAAACATTTTTTTCTTTTTTTTTTTTTTATTCTGTTTTGGAAATTTAAAAGAGTAAAATTCTCAGGTTCATATAAAATTTTAGTTCCAAAAAAAAAAAAAAAAAACTGCAAAAAATCTAAAATCATCTACTACTTTTCTTAGCAGGAGAAGTTACACTTACTTAGTGTTATACTTTTTTTTCCTTTCCTTTATAAAATTCTTTTTTTTTTTTCATCTGAATGCTCATCTGTCGAAATTAGCGGCTTTATATTGATTAATGGTGTTCCTTTTTTTTTTTTTTTTTTTTGAAATTTTAAAATTCGTAGATTCCTAGGCTTCTCTGTCATTTTCTCATGTTTGCATGAAAGAAGAAGTAAATCTTTATGTTTTAAGCCATATTTATATATATATTTCTATTTATATCTGCGTAGAAATATACTAACTCATTCTTTTGATACAATTTTAATTTTGATTTTGAATTTTTTATTCTGGTATAAAATTAGTGGTAATAATCAACAATTGCTGATGAGTAATGTGTCAACATCAAACAAAGCAAATGCAATTCATACAGATGTTATTAAAAAATTTTTCTCGTCTAAGTTTTTTTTTTTTTTTTTTTAATAAAATTTTGTATGTTATTCGTAAAAGAAATTATTAATTTATCTGCTGCTTAAATTAATATAAATGCATGAAATGATTGTATGTTAGAATATTTAAATTTAAATTTAATCAGTCGTTAATTCAGTAATAAGATGTAAAAAGCGTAATAGATGATTGATGTTTTACAGTTTTTTCATTTCTAAACTTAGATAAATTTTTTAATCACGTAATTTTATTAAATGAAAGTTAAAAATTGTAATTCAAAATTCACATTCAACAAGAAATTGATTGTGATGTGGTCCAAAAATGATACCAAATTAATTTGAAATTGTCACAAATTAATATTCATGCAGTTTACCTTAAAAATTTTCTAACTTTCCATCATTAATTTAATGTTTGACAATGTTTTCATAATTTAAGATGAATTTTCGGTCTTTTCCGAACTTTTATTTTTTTCAAATTTGAATATTAGAGAAAAGGAATTAATTTTTTTTTTCGAAATAAGCAACTTTAGCTTTGAATATCTTTCATAAAACTCTTTTCTTTTTAATTGTTTCCTCTTTTTTTTTTTGCTTTACCGATCAATAACTTCAATATTTATATTATTGTTTACAAAACATTTGTTGGGAAATTTAATTTTGATCTTTTTCTCGAAAGTTTCAGGGATTTTTTTCTCTTTTTTTTTTGATATATTTTGCATTTAAAATTTTACCCGTAAAAAGCTTCCTCTCCTATCATTTGAATTGATTTTATCAAATTAAAATCATTGTGAACGACTTAAAAAGGTTTTTTTTTTTTAATTGATTATATGTTAAAATATTACCTTTATTATTCTTTTATATATATTTTATGCACCATTTCCTGCAGTTTACTCTAAAAATTTAATTTATCAAAAATAGCATATATGATCAAATGCATTCGAAATGGGATGTAAATCCGGAAAGCTTTTAAAATCTAACAGTTTTTAAAATTATTATGGATAATTCCAACAACATTTTGTTAGGGATTTTATCTATTTCTCAGTGAAGTGACAAATTCAAAATGTCTTTCCGGTTTATCATTATTAACAGGACAAGTTTTGAATTAAAAAACTATGATTTTTAAAATGTAATACATATTTGAGGATAATTTTAACTTTCTAAAAATGAATTAAACTTTCATGTTAGTTTATAATGTTAAAAAAAGGAAACGTAAAAAAAAAGGTAATAAGAAATTAGTTATAAGCAAATGATTTCTTTGTATTTTAATTTCTGATTTAAATTTCAGATAATAAATTTTACAGTTATTTTGCAGTTATAATGATATGGTTGAGTGCACTAATTTATTTCAATATTCTATTACAAAATTGTCAATGTGATGTACCACTGGTAGTGACAACTTGGGGAGCTGATGGCTTTCAATCTGCTACCAGAAAAGGTTTAATAAATAAATGAATAAAATTTTATGTTTTTTTTTAATTAGTATAAATTTAATTAGTATGTATATTTAGTTTTTGTATATAAAATTAGTAGTATATATATTTAGTTTTTAATTAGTACATATATATATATGCTTGAATTTTAATTAGTATATGTTTAATCATTTTCAATTACTATATATTTTAATTTGTAAATATTTTTTTTAAATTTTAATTAGTATATATTTAATCATTCTTAATTAGTATATATTTTAATTAGTAGATATATTTTTCTGAATTTTAATTAGTATATATTTAATTATTTTTAATTAGTATACATTTAATTAGTATATATATATTTTTGAATTTTAGTTGGCATATATTTAATTATTTTTAATTAGTATATATTTATATTTATTTAAATTTTAATTAGTATATATTAAATTGTTTTTAATTAGTATATATTTTAATTAGTACATATATATATTTGAATTTTAATCAGTGTATATTTAATTATTTTTAATTAGTATATAGCATATACATAATTCTGTACTAACTAACCAAATGATAGCTACAAGGAAATATGTATTTCATGAGATTATTATCCGATTAGTTAAGTATATTGTAGATTTTTTTTTTTTTATTAGCAAATATTATACTATTATTAATGTTTAATTTCAAATCAAAAAAAAAAAGATAATAATAACTTTATTAAAAAATATTTATTTAGTAAAGATGCAATTAATTGATGAATTATTATTTTACAGCATTTTCGACACTAACAAAAACATATGATAGGATGAAATCATTATTGAATGGTTTGACAGAATGTGAACAATTACAATGTGATGGAAGTGTTGGGTATGGTGGTTCACCAGATGAAACAGGTGAAACTCGACTTGATGCACTCATTTATGATGGGTATATATTTGTTAAGTTCTTTTTTTTTATCCTTAAAAATTTTTGTTTATTTCAAATTAATTAAATTTATGAAGAAAAAAAGAAAGAAAATATTGGAATTATTTTGGTCAATGATTTCTTTTTACTTATTGATATACTGAATTAAATCATTTAATTGTTTATATTACTTTTATATTTTTTTTCCAACATATCTAAAGCTCTTTTTACTTATTGATATACTGAATTAAATCATTTAATTGTTTATATTACTTTTATATTTTTTTTCCAACATATCTAAAGCTCTTTTTACTTATTGATATACTGAATTAAATCATTTAATTGTTTACATTACTTTTTTTAATGCATATATTTTTTTCCAACATATCTAAAGCATTCATAAATTGTTTTCTATCTTATTTCAGTAAATTAGCTTAATCCATAGCTACATTATTTATTTGTAGGAGATTGATTAGCTTGTCAAATTTGCAAAAGTATATCGAATTTCAAATTGTCAAAAAGGATTTTTTTTTTTTTATTTGATATCTAACACTTAATTTAATTTACTACAAATACTATTTATTTGGTTTAAAAAAAAAAAAAAAAAAGGAGGAATTTTTAGTTTAAATCATGAAATGGGCGCTGTTGCTTCATTACCAAATATCAAGGATGCAGCACGTGTAGCTTATGCAGTAATGAAATACACCAAGCATTCAATTTTGGTCGGTGAACATGGTATGTTTACTTTTTATTCAAATTAATTTAATTTATGAATAAATAGGTAAAGTATATATCATAGATCAAAATTTGCATACTTTAAGAATTTTTCCTACCAAAATTTAATTTTTATCTCAAAAACTAAGTAAAACTTTCAAAATTTTTGTTTAACTTCAATATAAGTCATCAAATGTCTAACCTATTGAAATAGATTACAATTAGGATATAATTAAGATTACAATTAAGATATAGACACATTAAATTAAGCTATAATAAATTAACTGTTATTGCTGTCTTTTGAGATAGGAAAAATTATATTAATTTAATCGTATTATTGCTGTTAATGATAAGGATAAGGTATGAAGATATCTATCATAAAAATTATCAGTGTCGTAGTAATAAATGTAATGTTTCTCAGTAGTAATGAATTTAGAATTCATTTTATTAATTCAGAATTAAGCTTATTGATTTTTACAAACTTTACTATAAGTTTATTTGCATTCAATTTAATTAAGCTTATTGATTTTTACAAACTTTACTATAAGTTTATTTGCATTCAATTTGCTTTTTATTCATACTATTTCAAATTATAAATTTGTGTAATTTGTATAAAAATTATGAAGTTCTTAAATTACAAATTTGCATTTAATTTTGTCAGTTATCATCTACAAATACTTTTTTACAAATAATAATTATTTACTACTTCGAAGCTCAATTTATTTAAATTTAGACTTTAAAGTAATAAATAAACATATTTGTTAATTTAGCAGCCAAATTTGCTCTCGAAATGGGCTTCAAATATGAATCATTGTATACCAATACTTCCTATGCTGAGCATCACAAATGGATCAAACATAATTGTCAGCCAAATTACCGAAAAGTTCATTTTATTACCAATTTTTAAATACTTAAATTTCATTTTTAGCTTATAACTTACACTCTAGTTGTATATGCTAGTTTTAATTTTAATTTAAGCTTAACTTTGATTTTTTTATGTTTCATTTTTTTAAAGTTTCCTTCAATTTAGATTTGATTTTTTTCACGTGAATTAAATTTTGTAAAAATTCTTTTTGTAAAAAATGAAAAAAAATTTTGTAAAAATAAAAAAAAATTCTTGTGACATGAAATAAATTTTTGTTGGTGCTAATTTTAGAATGTATCACCTGATCCGACCAAATCTTGTGGTCCGTATAAACCTACCAGTGATAAAGATAAATTAGCATACTCTGATGTGGCAATCACTGATCTACCAGAAAAGTTTAGTCATAAAAATATTTGATTCATTTTTTTGCTCATTTGTTTTTTTTTTTTTTTTGTTCATCGCCATTTTAAAAAGTTCTGTGGCATTTTTGGCGTGCTCAAAGTTATTAATATTTGCTTCCTGTTTTCATCGTATTGCTATGTTATTAAAATTCTCATATTATGAGATAATTTTTAGATTGAATTTCATGTAAAAGAGGGATTTTTAAAATTAAACTAAATTAGTATAAGTCGAAATTCCCAACCCGTTTAATCTTTAATTAAAACCATGAAAGAAGTAATAAGTTTTTTTTTTTTTTTTTTTAGGCTTATCATCGTAATCATGATACTATTGGTATGATTGTTGTTGATTTTGAAAACAATATTTCTGCTGGTACATCGACTAATGGTGCTAATCACAAAATTCCCGGGTAATTTATTCAGAAGTAAATGTTTGTTTTAGTTCTTATTACGATGGGAGAAATCAAATTTGAAACATCCTAAATTAAGTATGATTTCTACATCCAGTTGAGAATTTTTTTAGATTTAAATCTTTTGCATTTATAGTGATTATAATTTTATAATCGTCCAATCTGAAATCGAAGATGAATATATTCCTCAAAGTTTCAAACAGTTCTAGCGAGTCGGATACTAAATGATGATGAGTTTTGGCTTAAAATACTATCAATTCTAAATTTAATTAGATCGGTTTAGTGGTATACATTGTCTGTGGTCCTTACAACCCTTTTTGTTTGAAAATTTGTTACATTTTATAACTAATGATTGAAAATTTTCATTTCAGTCTTTTTTTTTTTTTGTTAACTTAATTTCAGGCGGATTGGTGATTCACCAATACCAGGTGCTGGTGCATATGCTGATAATGATATCGGTGGTGCGGTGAGTACCGGCGATGGTGATATTATGATGAGATTTGTTCCCAGGTATTTTTTAAGATAAACTGGCTCAATTAGTAATTAACTTTGGTTGACACTTGTAAGATAATTGATGACTTCCACTTCATCATTTTCACTTCCCATATCAAAAAACTGGCTCAAATTTTGATTATGAATTGACTTAATGACTTTACTATTTAATTTTATTAAAATGCAAACTTATGCAAATATATTATAGCTTTCAAACAGTTCACCATATGCGTGAAGGTAAAATGCCCGCAGAAGCTGCTGAAATAACAATTCGTGCAATTTCTCGCAAATATCCGAATTTTATGGGTGCGATTGTTGCAGTTGACAAGAAGGGTAACTTCGGTGCTGCATGTCATGGCATGAAGTTTTTCAAATTTTGTATGCAAAATCAATATTTGAAAAAAGTTAAAGTTATACCTGTGAGATGTATATAGTTACTGATTGAATTTTTGACTCTTAACTTAACGTGATCATTATTATAATACATTCAAACATTTAGCATTTAAGCATATTTCTTGTGGCATATTTCTTATGTTTAAGATTATCAATAAAATTATAATTGTTATTTGTCGGGCAGTTTCAAGGTTATCCTAAGTTTCTTTATAAAAAGAAAAGAAAATTAATTAAAAATGAGAAAATATTTTTACTTATTCGGAGGTTTTTTTTTTTTTTAAAAAAACCTCCGAATTTTTTTTTTTTTTAAAAAAAAATTAAGAAAATTAAAACGGACTTCTGGAAATCAGATTCTTGAAAATCGAAAATTCTTCCTATTTTCTTTTTTCTCGAAGAAATAAAGTGAAAATGATTTAGGATACGTCCTATAATATAAGTCGTCGTAATCTCTACAAATTCAAAACTGAAAGATTAAAGGTGACAATTTGGATTTTCCCGGTGTTTTCAAACTCAGTATGTTTGTAAAATGAAGTTTCCTTTCTTTTAAATAGCTGATATTTTATCCTTTTAGGGGTAATTTTTTTTTTTTGTGTGTATTTGAAATGAAAATCAGTCAACTTTATACTGTTGGTGAATTGTGATTAATAAGATGAATAGAGTTCAGATTTATACCGAACGTTTATAGTTGATCTTTTAGCATTTAGCAAACTGGGATTTATAGTTAAACATTTAATTGATATGAAAACTTTTTTCCAAACGTAAAATATCCTACATATTTTTGAAATCCTGTAAAAATGTCTAAAACATTCATGAGATTTTAGTTAACAAGGATGAAATAGTATAAAACAAGAAAATATAACAAGAATGATATATATATATATATTTATTATATTTGCTTCCAAATTGCGATTTTCAGATTGGTATAGTGAAACAACCTAGATGTAACGTAGCCACGTGGACGTGGTACAGTTCAGCGTCTAATTCCAAGCAACCGTCAAGGTTTCTTTTTCGAAGTTTTAACTAAAAACGATCTTTCCATTTCATATTAGATTCTAAATTAACTCGCTTTATTTTTAATTTGGTTTTGCTAAAATTCGAAAAAAAAAAAAAAAAATTGTTCATGGAAAGCACGAAACACTTAAATTAAAAAATTATAAGTACTTACATTACGTAAACGTAAGCAAATACTAGCGTATTCCTTCAAAAATGGCAATGACAAACAATACGGTGGTGGATTACGCACTGCAAGGAAAATAATAGAAAAGAAATTTCTCAAGTGAAATTTGTAAGTGAATCTTATCTTTTCCATATATACTGTTACATGTTTGTAATAAAAAGAAAAAAAAAGAAGCAGTGCATATTTTTAAGTATTATTTATTTTAAATTCGTATCATTTTGGTTTTAAAAAAAATTTATGAAAAATGAAAGGATGGAAACTAACATGATATTTCTCTCGAAATATAAATATAGCCATTTATAGAAAAAGATAAACGAACACCGATATCTTCTGATATATACGTAATATTTACACATGCTGCAAATTTTTAATTTAATTTAAAATTTTGCTATTAACACATTTTTTTGATGAGTACAAATATATTCATTATAAGTATAGGTGCAGGTATACTGTATGTCTTTACAGTATACCAGGCGATACTGTAATGTTATATATTGCATTATATGGGCACTATATTATGTTTCAGTATGATATATTACAGCAGCACTACTGTTATATAAATCATTGTACATGGTACAGTACATTCTCAATTTTACTACATCACGCTTCAGCACTTTTGTACTATACTGTATATTACAGTATGTCGTAAGCACGGATACGATATATTACAGTATGCTGTAAGCACAGATACGATGATGTAAGATAGCAGTGAAGATAAAATATATTTGTAGATGATTTGTTCTCTATTATACTGCATCACTTTTTTACTGTACATACAATATCAGTGACTAAGAATACATTGTATTGTATCGTAACATAATGCATTACAGTATGAAGTCACTAAGAATTATAAGTATAGATATGTTCAGATCAGTAAGTATAGATATATTTTGTACATTGTTACGTATAAATATACTGCTTATCAGTAAGTATAGGTATATTATAATGCAGTACAGCTAAATATTTGACATAATGATGAATTTTTTTAGTTTTTTAGTAAACGGTATTCTAATCAACTCTGATTTTGTATGCTATCTTTCGTATGACTAATACAAAACCATGAAACTAGATGAATTGTTCAATTTCTAAGATTTACAAGTCGAGACAAGACAATACGAGAATAATGTTTGAAATTTGCATCATTTTTGAATTTTCAAAACATTTCATCCTTTCTGTAATTTTAAATGGGAAAAGTGTTATTGTGAAAAATTTCAAAATTCGTATGAAATTCTTAGCTTTACAAAATTCCAATAAGCTTTATGTCTTTCTTCTTAAATGAAAACAATTTCTTTGTAATGTTTATTGAAAGCAAAAAAAAAAAAAGAAATGATTCTGTTTCCATTTAAATTTAAATTATATCAGTAATAGAGCGAAAATATTTCATTTTATCTCATATGCTAATAAACCAAAAAGAGCGCAAATGTTCAATCCATGAATAACAAAACTTTTTTAATTGGAAGCAATCGTATAGATTGGAATGCATTCTATCACAAATGCTATTACTGCTATTTCTCTTTTTCTCTCTCTGTCAAAAAAAAAATTGAAAAACTTTAAAAAAAGAATTAAAAAAATTTTTTCTTAATAGATTAAATACAATAAATCTTTTTATTCTCTTTAATCACCAGTAATCGATTTATCGTTAATATCCACAATTCATGAAATATTTCGTGAAGTGTCATCGTTTTCTTATCAATAAACAAACCAAACCATAAAAATAAACAAAATTTTCTTGAGCAAAAAAAAAAAAAAAAATTATTAAATAGATACATACCGAAATCACCAAGACCAATTTTTGCAACATTTAACGTCATGCAGCATGCACAATTTTTTGGAATGCATTGGCAATTTGTTGAATTTATCATATCAGTGTCTATGTTATCTGATAAAAAACCTACAAAATTATATTTATCATTAATTTATTCAAATAAATTTTCAAGTCTCCTTTTTTTTTTTTTTCATATTTTTGCTAAATTATTTATAGTGACAACAAGTCATAAAATATAATTTTTTCATTTCCTATGAAAATTTGTCTAAACAAACTTGCTTTACAAGAAAATTTTCATGTAGCAAATAGTTAAGATTAAAATATTTTATCAATTTTCTCATATCATAACTTTTTTCCATCTCTTTGGTAACATGTACATGAAGTCGATAATTTTCTGTTATCATTTCCATTTTTTTTTCATACCATTTTCAATCACCATGGTGACATCCATAATAATGTAATCTAAAATGGATCATTCAATCAAACAATTTCAATATCTAAAAATAATCGGAAATGAAAAAAAAAAAAAAAGAAATCAAATGTATGTAGTAATTTTTGATTTGTTAAATTTATAAAAATTAAAAACTATAATCTGATTAAACATGATTGTTATTATTATCACTTATATTATCATATATCATCTTACTACTATTTAAATATTACAATTATGCTAAAATAAAAGATTAGAAAAATATTTTTGCTTTTTTTTTTTTTTGTGATTTACAAATTAAAATGAAATAATGAATAAATTTTAACCTTGCATTCCAATAGGTAAATCAAAAAATCGCAATCCCAAATATACTTTACCATTATGTGATTTCATTGCTTTTGTTAATCGTATCACTGTTGAATCGCTATAACGATTATGATTGTGTCTTAATAATCCACCATCTTGCATCATTATATTCTAAAGTATTATTAATCTGAATATTCATTTTGAATATATTTATAATATATTAGTAATATCATACTAGTTATCTGATAGTTATAATTTATTTTCATTTTAAACAATGTGATTTTAAAAAAAAAAAAAAAAAACTTATATCATTTATGATAGTTATAATTTATTTATTCAATATATTTTATCAAATTTTTAACATTTTAAAGAATGTGATTTAAAACTTATCACTAAGAAATTTATCAAAATCGACTAATAATGAAGTTAAATTACAATGTTCATTGTTTAAATGAGCAGAAATGTTTATCAGAAATTTCATTATTAATTTTGAAATTATTATAAGTAATAACATTTGTGTCAAACCTTATTTATGTTATATTATAGTTAATGAAATCTTGAATAAAACAAGCAGCGATGTTTATTAAGATTAATTCTTTGCTTATCTTTTTGACCTTTCATTATCACTAATGTATTTTTTTTTTTTTTTTGTATTATAATATTTATTCATTTAGTTTTTCTTCTCTGATTAAAATTAAATTACTCAGTTAAATGATACGTCTAATAATGATCAAATAACAAAAATAGTAATCTTCAACAAGAAAATGAATTTTTCTATCTCAAAAAAAATTTTCTTTTTTTTTTTTTGAAACAAAACTAATTAGTTTGAAGATTTTCTTTTCATAAATGTATAAGTATCGTTTGAAATCAGCAATAAATCTCAGCAAATTCCAAACTTTTTTAACTTAACAAATTTCAACAAAAATTAACTAATTAGTTTAATTGTATAGAAGGAAAAGGAATAGAATTTAAAATAATAAAAAAAAAAAGTTAAAAGTAAGTGAATGATAAGTGATTATTTTTAGTATTCAAATCCATCCATTTAAAATATTTATTTAAAATCAATTTTTAAAATTTTATAATGTCAAATCTTACGTATATCTTTTATACGTTACTTTCTAATCGTTATTTATACGTTCTTGTTTACTTAATAGCGTTTCTTTAATTTAAAAAAAAATAATTGATTAAATCAATACAAAAAAAAGTTGAAAAAAAGAATTTAAAAAAAACAAACAAACAAACAAACAAATAAATAAATAAATATACCAATAAATCAAAATGATTGGGAGAATGTAATACTGAAATAGCATATGGTATCGAACAAGGTGGATCATTTTCACAAATTGTTGTATCATCAATTGGTGAAAGTTTGATACGAAGATCCAAATATGAATGAGCCTAAATTATATTAATTAATTAATTAATTAACTAATTAATTAATTGATTGATTAGAATTGCTTAAATGTTGACACAAATTAATTTGTCAAATATTCTCTCTTTTTTCTTTTGTTTTATTGCTTTAAAAATAAAATTGTGAAAAATTCTGTTTAAAACAATGAATTAAAAAAAAAAGAAAAAAAGGACAAATAAGAAATGATTTTTGATAAATATCATTTGTTAATTAATATCTAAATTTGTTTATCATACTTTTTCAAAAAATTTTAAAGAAATGATTTTTGATAAATATCATTTGTTAATTAATATCTAAATTTGTTTATCATACTTTTTCAAAAAATTTTAAAGAAATGATTTTTGATAAATTTCATTAATTAATATCTAAATTTGTTTACCATACTTTTTCAAAAAATTTTAAAGAAATGATTTTTGATAAATTTCATTAATTAATATCTAAATTTGTTTATCATACTTTTTCAAAAAATTTTAAAGAAATGATTTTTGATAAATTTCATTAATTAATATCTAAATTTGTTTACCATACTTTTTCAAAAAATTTTAAAGAAATGATTTTTGATAAATTTCATTAATTAATATCTAAATTTCTTTACCATACTTTTTCAAAAAATTTTAAAGGAATGATTTTTGATAAATATCATTTGTTAATTAATATCTAAATTTGTTTATCATACTTTTTCAAAAAATTTTATAGTTCATACTAATCTTTTGTTTTCTTTTTTTTCATTTGATCATTCCGATGAAATAATTTGTTTTTGATATCTGAACTTGTTTACATATTATTTCGACGAAGTTCATGCCAACCTTTTTTTGTGCTTTTACTTTTTTTTTTTTCTCTCTATGAATTTCTTCATTTTATTGTTTGATCATTTGTATTTGTTTGAAATAAATATTTCAACAGTTATCAAAAAACAAAAAAACAAAAAAAAAAAACTAACATACAGTACAAAGTAACATTTTAATAAATAACACAAAATATATTTGTCTAAGATATTTGCGCATTTTACGTAATATTTATCACTATAAATTTTTAAATAAATAATTCCTTTGAAGAAAAAAAGAAATTTAAATAATTAAGTAAACAAAATTATATATTTAATATATTTATTTTTTTGAGGATGGTAAGAAATGCTTATGTAATGTTCAATTTAGCATTATAATATTTGATCTTAAAATAATTATCTCTGAAAGAACAAATTGTTTTAAAAAAAAAAAATTTCATCTTATTGAAGAATTATTAATACTTCAAATGTTTATTTATTTATTTATTATTTTTTATTATCTAATATTGCAAAATTTAATTTTTACTCTTTCAACTTTTCCATTCTTTCTTTTACTTCAAACATATTCGAAAAAAAAAAAACAAATAAGTTATGCTATTGTACCAACTTCCATAATCGTAGATTTATTTTTGCATTTAATATGATTGATTTAAAAATTAATTTAAATTAAATATTTCAAATAAATTGAATTAAAATTAAATTAAATTAGACATTTCAAATAAAAAATAAAGAATGGAAAAAAAAAAGAAAATGAAAGAAATGATAACTTACTTTTCGGATATGTGAAATATGTGCAACATTAGCTGTAATTAGCAGAAAAAATATATCAACGATTATTGCTAACATCGGTTGCATTTGTTAATTAAGACGAAAATTTCGCATCAAATATTTTCCGGAAAGAAAAAAAAAAGGGAAAAAAAAAAGAGTTACAAATAGATTAATTAAAAATAAAAATAAATCAATATATATGATTAAAAAAAAAAAGAAGCAATGCAATAAGATTAATTAATAACGGTTTTTGATATTTTCCGGATATAATCAAAAAAAAAAAAAAAATTTGATAATAACAATGATTGTGCATTAATAATACCAACCGGATTACGGCATGCAGTTGGAATTACAAATAGCAGCAATAGCAATTCCCGAAACAACAAGCAACAACAATAACATTTCCTTTTTGCTGATGGAAAAAGGACGAAGACACGCCTTTGTCGTTTTCATCTTATACTTTTGTCAAACTAATTTACACCGGAATGAAGCATTGATCTATCCGGAATATATATATGATCATGATCAAATTATTCATTACTTTATATTGTTATCGGTTTAATTATGGTTCGTTCAATGATGATTAAACCGATTTGTATATATATAAATAACCGAATAAACAATATTTATACTATTAATTTTTATAAAATCAGGAATGGAAAAAAAACTGAGCAAGATTTGATTTGTTGTAATGATGTGAACAGGAATATGATCAATTTCCGGAAATTTCAACTGAAATTATTGATATAGTAATTCGGGATGATTAAATATGCTCATTTTTTGAGTGAAACATTAGCACTTAAGATCATCTCTGATTTGTATTATTCATGAATATCACTGCATCATGGGTCAAAGGTTAAATCAAGCAGAAAAAAATTAAATATTTTATGGAAAAAAGTATGACCTTAGAAAATTGATAATTTTTGATGTTTCTTAAAATGTCTAACTTAGCAAAGCCTCCATTAGCGCTTATGTAACCTTTGACCCTTTTGCTTTATGTTCAACTCAACAATTTACATTTTGCAAACTGAGTGCAATCATTATTTTAGACAATAAATTTGAAAACAGATTGCAGAAGAAAATTGAATATAAATTGTTTTAAAATTTAAAATTAAATTGCAGAAATTTTAAACTTTCTGATTTTTTTCTTTTTTTTTCTACTCAATTATTATTATTTTTCTATTTGTTTCGATGTAATTTACTATCAATTTTTTAAATTAGAGAAGAAAAAATTTTTTTGATTTCAAAAGAATAAAATGCTAAAATTATAGAAATGAATTAACGTTTCATTTTTTTTTGGATAAAATTAACATTTGAAAATTTTAGCAGCAAATATGCTATAATAACAAATTTCATTTGCGTCATTTTATGAAGTTACTATAAAAAAAAAAAAAAAAAAGAGTTGAATTTTGCTGATAACACTGATATTGATAATATTATCTTGAATTATCAAAATAAGTGATAAAGAAGTAAAATTATCAAAATTGATGATAATAGTAGCGACGGCAAAAAGCAAAAAAAAAAAAAAAAAAAAAGAAGCCGATATGATTTAAAATCATACAATCGAATCATTCTCGAGAGCAATTGTAAGAAATAATTAATTACTTCTACAGTTGACAAAAAAAAAAAAGAGACAGAAACGAAGGTCAACTTCTTTCGATTATTGACTTTTTATTATTTTTTGTTGTTAAACACAAAAAAAAAAAAATGAACAGGTAAATAAGTAAATAATTAAATAAATTAAATAATGAA